TGCATTTGGGGCATAGATGTTCAGGATTGTGATATCTTCCTGTTGGAATTTTTCCTTGATGAGTATGAAGTGTCCTTCCTCATCTCTTTTGATTAAATTTTGATGAAAATCTATTTTATTAGATATTAGAATGGCTACTCCTGCTTGCTTCTTGGGTCCATTTGCTTAGAAAACTGTCTTCCAGCCCTTTATCTTCAGGTAATGTCTATCTTTGTGATTTAGGTGTGTTTCTTGTATGCAACAGATTGTTTGGTCTTGTTTATGCATCCATTCTGTTAGTCTGTGTCTTTTTATTGGAGAATTGAGTCCATTGATGTTGAGGGAGATTAATGACCAGATATGGGTATGAGTTCATTCTTCATGTGGAAATACCGTGTTCCCACCACCATATGTTGAAGGTAGTTTCCCCCTTCATCTTATATTTTTGGTGTCTTTGCAAACTATCATATGGCTTATGTTACACGTACTTGTGGATGGGTTTTTGATTTTGTTATATTTGCCTAAATGACTGTTTTGTGTCAGTATTATATCATTTTTATTTATACATCTCTATAATATATTTTAAGTTTTGTAATGGTAACCCTTCCTGCATTGTTCTTTTTGTTCGGGACTGCCTTGGATATCAGGAATATTTGTGATTAAATTTGAATATTAAGATATGGAGATTTTGCTTGGGGTTTCACTGAATACATAAACCAATTTTTGGTAAAACAGTCATTTTTTACAATATTATTTCTACCAACCCATAAATGTGAAGAATCTTTCTCTTTTCTAGTGTCTTTAATACCTATTTCTTCTCAGATTTAAAGTTTTTGTTATAGAGGTCCATAATTTCTTTCATTTGGCTTATTCATAGATATATTCTTTCCTTTGAGTTACTGTGAACACGAGTGTGTCTGTGATTTCCTTCTCTGTGTGTTTATTTTTGGTGTATAGAATGCTACTGATTTGTTCAAGTTTATTTTGTATCATGCTATGTTGATGAATGTCTTTCACATTTCTAGAAGTTTCCTGGTAAATTTTTTGGAATCCTTCATGTCTAGTACTATGTCCTCTGAAAGTAAATATAGTTTGACCTAGCCCTTCCCTATTTGTGTCTCTTTAATTACCTTCCCATGTCTTATTGCTCCAGCTTGTCCTTTGCACATAATATTGAAAAAGGTGCAGGAATAGTGGAAATTCCTGCCTCATTCCCATTAATTTTTATCCATTGAGGATGATGGAGTATGTGGGGTTTTGTATATAATTTTTGCTATGGTGAAGTATGTTCCCTCTAGCCCTACATTCTCTAGCACTTTTATCATGAAAGCATGTTGAATTTGGTCAAAGGTTTTTTCTGTATCTATTTAAATGATTATCTGTTTTTGTTTTTGTTGTTTTTTTTTTTTTTTTTTTTTTTGGTCACGTATGTGACTTGTTACATTTATTAACTTGCACATATTGAACTATTCCTTAATTTCAGGGATAAAGCCAACTTGGTCATGATACATAATCTTTTGGATATATGTCTTTATTCCGTTGGCTATTTTTGCTGTCTTTTTTTTTTTTTTTTTTGAGCCTATGTTCATCAAGAATATTGTTCTGCATTTTATTTGTCTTTTTTGTTGTGCTTTTGTCTGGTTTTGGTATTAGAGTGAGAATGTCTTCAATAGAAGGAGTTTGGGAATAATTCTTCAGTTTCTATTTGTGTGTGTGTGTGTGTGTGTGTGTGTGTCTGTGTGTACTTTACAAATGTTGTATATAAACCTTTGAATTTCTGGTAAAATTCTGCTCTGAATTTAATTGGCTGTGACCCTTTTTGAATTTTTTTAAATTTACCTGGGACACTTTTTTAAAATTACTATTTCAATCTCCTCATTTTTTATGGAAATATTTAAGTTGTTCTACTTAGTCTTGTTTTAATTTTGGTAGTCTGTATCAATCTAGATTCATCTATTTTTTTTTTTAAATTTCCAGCTCAATGCTGTTCAGGTTCCTAAAGTATTCATTTTAATATTCTGAATTTTTTTGATGTTGTTATGATTCCCTGTTCAGTTATGATTTTGTTAATTTGGGTCTTCTCTTTCCTTCTTTTGGTTAGTTGGACCAAAGACCTATCAATCTTGTTTTTCTTCTTAAAGAATATGGTCTTATAAATATATCTGGGCACAGGGGTCTTTTCTGAGACTGATACTCCACCAAGGACCATGTATGGATATAACCTAGAACCTCTGCTCGGATGAAGCCCGTGGTTGTTCAGTAACCAATTGTTTTTCCCTAGTAAGGGGAACAAGAACTATTTCTGACAGGAACTCGATGGCAGGCTCTTTGACCTCCCCACCTCCCAAGGGAGGAGCAGTCTTGCTAGGCCACAGAGGAGGACTTTGCAGCCAGTCCTGAAGATACCTAATAAAACAGGATCAGATGAAAGGAAAGGAGGTCCCCCTTAATCAGTGGACTTGGAAAGGGGCAGGGAGGAGATGATGGAGGGAGGGTTTGGGAGAGAATGAGAGAACGGGATACAGCTGGGATACAGAGTTAATAAAATGTAACTAATAATAATAATAAAAATATGTATATTAAAAAAATAAAATAAAATAATAAAAAGAATAAGGTTGATTTGTTGATTGTTTTAATTGTTTGTTTATTTCTATTTTATTGAGTTATGGTCTTATTTTTATTATTCCTTGATATAGACTGGGTTTGGATTTGATTTGTTATTGTTTTGTGTTTTATCAAATCATTTATCTGTGCTTTTTTATTTTTATTTTTAATTTTTAAAACTCTTCTCTCATACATTTCAATCTGATTAAAGTTTCCCTTCTCTCTTCTCCTCCCACTATCCACACTTCCTTCCCCTTTCCTCCACATCTACTCCTCCTCCATTTCCCTTTACAAAAAAGAACAGGCCTCTTAGAGATATCAACCAAACATTGCCTAATAAGTTACAGTAAGACTATGCACAAACACTCATATGAAAGCTAGATGAAGCAACTGAGTAGGACAAAGTGGGCCCCATGTGCAAGCAAGTGAGTCTTGCTTTTGATTTATATTTCATACAGAGTTGAGTAATAATTAAATGACTAAGACATAACTTCTTTAAACAGTGTGACTTTAAATATGTCTGTGTGCTATAATTTTCTTACTTGGAAGAAAGTAGTGATGAAGAAGTTGAAAGATCCTCAAAGATAGCAGAAATACCAGAGTTATAAAAAATATTGTATTATATCAGTTCAAAATATCATGAACTAGTGATTTTTCATGTTGCCTCTAGACATTCATATATATTAAGATAGAGCTGAATATTTTCTTCCAGTTTCAGGCTATTGGGAGCTCACTGAAGCAGACAATGTACAGAAATTTCATACTTTTATGAGGAGTACATGGCAATTGGATTGCTGCTAATGCTTTGGGGGAAGACTGGAAAAGTTATATGGTTTGAATCAGTGGTTTTCCATGAAGAAAGATGGCTTGATCTTCTGCAGGGAGTGCCTGCGGTTTACTAAAGGACATTCCTGTTGTAGATCACAGGAAGCTGGACAGAGTAAACAGTACATTTGGGGATACATGTATATATCAGTAAACTTGGTACCTGAAAGAGAGAAAGAGGAAAAAGAGGAGAGAAAGAAAGGAGAGAAAGAGAGATGAGAGAGAGACAACGACAGAGATATTTCTGAACTGATAGATAGTACTATACTGAGATATTTGAGGCCCCAATGAGTTCCAAAGAATACCCCAAAGAATATCAAAGCTTTTAAACCTCTCTGAAGAAGATGATGTCTGAAAGTACTTAAACACAGAAGGTGAGACGCTCAGGATAAATGCAGCCACGATAAAGCATCATCTTACTGATGTGTCCTGCAATAGAAATGCTGATGTATTGCTCTGAAAAACAGCACATTAAGAAAAATAAGGAGGAGACTGCAGAACATGCTAAGCTTTGGCCAAAAGAATGAAAAAAGCAAAATAAAAACACCAGAAAAATATTGCCAAGAGATGTAGTCTGTCCTCACTGAGACCTTCTACTTTTAAGCCTAAGTCCAGTCCAAAAAAATAAAATAAAATAAAGACTTTAAGAGCAAGTAATCAGACCTTGAATATAAAAAAGTAAAACTCATGAACATAAAGTTGACAGGCTAAATTTGGTAATTTGATATATCTACATTGTATGTGATTATCATATAGTATTGCTAACTTTCAAATGTCCTAAATATTACAATTTAGATTTATGTTTAATAATAATTATTATAATTTATGAAGTAAATTGTGAAACTCAATTGATGTTAAACTCATTGATATTAATAATGGGTCAAATTTAAATATGACAGTTTAAATTTAAATAGACAAGATAGCGCCAAATAATTGAGACAGAGACTTTAGTTCTATTCATCATTTCTCTACATAGTATAACTGAGAAATACTAGTCTACATTTATTCTTTAAACTATTCTAGCTGGCTCCCAGCATAAATCCTGAGTTACTCTTATTTTATGGCTTTTTCTTTTCCATCTGTTTCCATATTCTCTATCCTGGACCTCTCTTCATGGCTAAATCCCCTTAAATCCTCTTCTTGCTGAGAAGAGAAGCCCAGCACTATCTCTCTACTGCTCAGTTATTGGCTGATCCATTTTCTTGATAAATCAGAGCATAAACAAGGAACAATGTTTATATAAACTCGAGACAGGAGAATCTTCAAATAAACATTAAAATGCCATGTCCAGATTGAAACCAGATATGAGGGCAGAGAAATCAGCCTTTGAATAATACAGAGATAATTTTTACACACTACACAATAACATTATGCCAACAAATTAACATTTTCATCTCCTTTAATTTTGTGTTTAGAATCTTTGATATTCACAAAAAATTTACATAGCTCAGAGGGTAACTTTGTGTCACACCATTTTGGGGAGGTAAGAGATGGATCTTTATGCAATAAATGTTTACATAAAATGTATTAACTCACAATATTTTCATACTGCTTTAGTATTTTCAGAATTATCTTTTTAGAGTACTTTCTCCCTACTGCATAAAAATGTCATCATTATCTTCAGGTGGAGAAACATTAAATATCAATTGCAAATAACAAGTGAGGTTATCAAAAAACCCAGAATATTGATTAAGGTGACTATGAAGCCAGTAATACAGTAATCCACTTAAAAGAAAGATGGCCTGGTAGATAAGTTCTATTGTGGGAGTATTAATCATTGTTGCAACAAATAAAAACAAATTAAAAGACATCGACCCAAACAGAAATGGCAACCACACCTAAAAGTAAAAAGAAAATTAACATTAGTGATGAATTTATTCTCAAAAAGTTTCCAATGATTGACCAAGAACACTTATAAATGTGGTAGAACTATATGGAGATGACTGAAAAACATCTCCTAAAACATAGTTAGAGGCACAGCCTTAGCTTTACAGCATAAAAAGAAGTTTGCTTGCAGGCTCAATATTGTAAACAGAACTGACTCTAATTACAGGTTTTAGGAATTTTTCTTGTCCCATCAAACTGTGACATTCATCCACTAAACTTTGTGTTCTTTGCAGGCATAGTTGTACAGGACTTTTAGAAGATATTATCTTTAGAGACAAATTTTATCTTGGTTATTTTGGTATTACCTCTTGAGACTTCTGATTTGGAGAATTAGAGATTAGCTGTTTTAACTGAGTATTTACTCACAATACATATTTAAAGTAGTGTGGACTAATGTACTATGAAGAATCATCATTAAATAATAAAAATAGAAGAAATACAGGACTCACAGATATCAGGCTTAAAATACACTAGCCACTGTCTTAGTCATTTATCTCTTCCAGAGTTATTCATAGAAGAACACAAATATGAAACTTACTTTTCTGCATGCTTAGGAGAGATAAAGAAGTTAGCTATCACTCTCCAGGTTTTTACTTTGGGCCACTTAGTGAATCAGTCATGCATAATGTTGATCTCTAAAGTCATTATGAGAATCATGTTATATGTCAGGACAGTGTACTCCACAATATTTTTATATTTCTATTCTCAATCTATCATGAAACTATTATGATTGTGATGTAAGATTGGTTCTCATTTTTCTGAAATATCCATATGAATACCTGAAGCAATGGAGACACTCAGTATGTATTTTTTAAATAAATGCATGACTAAAATAAAAGATATCACCAGTCAACATTTCAACATGGACACTGGTTTAGGAACCTATTTTAAAAAGAATGTGAAAGATTAAGTAATATTTCTTAAAGTATTTCCAGTGTATCAATCTGTACATGAATCCCAAAATAATTAATATTTACATAGTCCAATGGAGAAGAAATGAATCTGTATCCCCATGGATTAGTTTGAAAATTTAAATTTCAATGAGGAAACACAAGTGCATTTTATAGTAATTGACAACAAACATAGGGTTATCAGTTTACTTCATCTTCAAATAAGGAAGAATCTAAAATAGGCTACTTCATATCTGAAATATGACTATGATTATAACTTTATTAAGTAATAGTGGCCACAGGATCTCATAGGATTTATATTATAGCACGGTACACATTGTATTAGGATATGATTGATGAAAGATGAAAAATGTAGAAAATAAAGATACCAATAAGAATAAGTTTGGTTAAAAAAAAAAAGCATGCTACCAAGCTCCAAGCTTTCTATGGATTCTGAAAGTAGCCACCAAAAGCACTTAAAAGCTCAAGTATTTCTATGCTAAATTTAGATAAACTCTTCACAATGTTTATCCTTGCAAAATCACATATTCATCATGTCAGAAAACAAAAATGTGGTTCTTATTGCCTTTAGTGTGCTTAGTGTGAGGCCTACAATTATGCTGTGTGTGGAGGGTTATTGAAGAAGACATGTCAGCTCATGTCTTGTGACATTCATTGTTTGCATGATTTGCCTCACACTGTGCACTCTTCTTTGTAGTAAATGTAAGTTGACATCGGATCTCTGTTCAGTTCATTAGGCTCTGCCTAGCCTTGGGACTGCATCTTGCTAATGGATAGAGTATTTGGGAGACTTTTTCTTTGGTCCTGTGCATATGGTTCAGTGGTAAAGTACTTGCCAAGCTGATGTATTCAATAACTATCATAAATTTAAAAAACGGCATGCAAAAATATTCTAGGAGTTTATAGTAATGATTCTATCTTGTTAATAAAATTCAAAAATGTTTAAAATCATCAAATTGGTGCTTTTATTATCATCTTACAAAAATTAGGTACTATGTTAAGTATAAAGAAGATAAAGGCACATAGTTTTTGTTATGTTGCTAACTAAGAAAATACTTTTTAGCATGTCCAATATTTTTATATTATGGACTAATATTTGCATAATCTAGGAAAGATGAAGAAAATGACATTTATTTTTCTGTGAAGAATTAGTGTTGAGCTTTTACATAATAAAAAAAAAAGAAGCAGAATGATCCACATCCACAAATTGCAGGCCTGTACCAGATGCTTTCAAGATTGGTATAAAATTTGATTAAAGATACATACACAGCTGAAACAATAATATTCATGTAACATAAGGAGAAATTCAAAGCTAATATTTTCACTTACCTTGTAAGGTCTATGTAGATGTGGCTCCTGGTACCTCAGTTTAAGTAAAGCTATGATAGATACTTCACTTAAAACTAAGGATGATAGCATCAAATATTTTATTAAATTGATTAACTTTAAAAGCATTATTACAACAGAAGATAAAATGATGATTTTCGTGACACCTACAACTGGGCAGTGGTAGCTGTTAAGCATAGAGAAAATGAAAGGCAGCTGTCTTTCTTGGCCTGCAGAGTAGAAAATCCTTGGTGCTGAAAGTATTGCACAGGCAGTGTTACTCAACACTGAAAATGAAATTGCCAAAGAAATGATCCATTGTATGGAAGGAAATACTCTGTCCATCCATGTGGCAGCAGCAAAATCTATGAAAATTAAAGACAAAGTCAAAATGTCAAATTCAATTTCACAACAATTGTAACAATTATCTAGTCCTTTTTATATAAAAAAAATAAGACATACAGGCTACCTCCCTGAGCCAGAACCTCTTTGTTCACTTAATGACTCTGCTCTGTTCTTACGTGTTTTTAGCAAACATGACTCTAATGTGGTTGTTTGCCAGCTGTGAGCCTACTCCTTATGGGGTGCATCATAGTTCTTGTTCTTCTTGTTTGTCACACTGGCCATACTAGGTTCAAGCAATCTAGACATTTTCAGCTACCTTATCAGAGAATGAAACCATACTAATTCTGGAACAGTGACAATGCATAAAATAGTCTTAGAATCATAATTGTACTAGGGCTCACATAGTTCACAGCAAAACATGTGTGGCATTTATACAAAAACCAACTTCACTCATCTTATGACCTTGTGTGGCAGGCATTCAAAACGTCATTCATCTCACAGATTTTATTTTATTTTTGAGCGAAAGGAATCCCTGAATATTTTCCTTTTAATCATTCTTCATGGGTATTAGTTTCTCTCCCCTCTGTTCCTCTTTGCTGTGGTTCTGTCACATTATGTATCTAGATTTCTTCTTTTTTTTCCCTTCGACACAAACGTTTACATGTACACAGTAATCACACATATAACACTGGTTCGGAATTTGCTTCTGCAAAGGGCGAGAACTAAACTCAGAGGTAGACGTTAAGGTCCATGAGAAGCTCGACCTTAGCGGCTTTCTGAATTGCAGTAGTCTACAGAGAAGAGGATGCTCAGCTGAGTCTATCTGACACAGCCAACTTGAAGTGTGTGAAATGAATGTGTGGTTGTCAAATGCTGGGAAATACCTGAAGGTCTGTGAAGAAGCAATAGGTAAATGAAGTAGTTGAAATTCTTATGACTTAAACTAAAGATGGAGATATTTTTCAGCAGAGAAGATATGTTCTTAAGTAGAATACATGGCATAAGAAACAAAAAAAAAATTTTAATATGCTTTAAATTTGACAAAAATCAGGTCCCTGTAATATTTTTTTTATAAATTGAAGTAAAAATAAAGTAAAAAAGTTAATTTATGTAAGGCTAATATTTTTGCATGACACTTTGATGGACTAATAGTTTGACAACCTTTCTTCTATTTCCAATAAAAAATGGCTAAATGCCTAGCATTTTCTTCTGTTTAATGCAAAAATCAAGTGTTAAGCTTTGATTCTATTGGACATTTCTGGTCTAAAACTCAAAGGGCTTATTATCCAGAAATATCATTACTATCAAGATCTCAATACTGTTGGTATAACGTTCTTGTGGAATGTATACAATTTTCCCTTGTTCATTCAAACGCTGATTTCTCTACCCCACTATCTGGGTTCAATCTGGACATTGCATTGTGATGTTTAGTCTAAGCATCACCTGTCTCAAGTTTGTGTAAACATGCCACCATTTGTTTTCCTATTGTCAATAAAACAATAAGCCATTGCTGAGCAATGGAGAGAAGAGTGTGGGACATCCTGGTCCAGTGGGGAGGAGAAGGAACAGAGTGGGGAGGAGTCAAAAAGCAGAGATCCATAGGAGAGGACTTGGAACCACGAGGAGAGATTAATCGGACCTAAGATATTATTAAAAGCCAGTATGATGTTAGAAAGTCTGAATGGGAGGAAACTATGCAGGCTTGGAGGTTCAGGATGGAGTAATCACTGCCCAGCACTGTGCTCTAGGTTAATTAAGTAAATCGTAGTCTCTGTGTGGTGATTTGGGTATACAGCTGGATAAGGAATAACCACTGTTTAACTAAAAGACAAATCATTAATAAATATTAATAATCAACAACAGAATACAATCACTTCCTTCCGTTTCAAATTTTTTAGACCACTTATAAAACTCTCCAGTACAAGAGAGATTTGTAATTCACAAACATTTGCACTCAGTGAGCACGGTATTAGAATCATTCCTATGAAAGGTAGGCAGGCTTGTAATTGAGGCTGAATCCATCCAGGAGCATGGTTGGACAAGGAAAGGGGACTGAATTTTTTTCTGAAAATGGCACAATTTTTTAGAGTCTGATGTGTCTATGTGCAAAGAATGGAAAGTTTATTTTGAGTAGGAGGACTATACTGTTTCCTTTGTGTGTATATACATTTAATACATTTGTGTTTATGCACTCTTTTATATGTGTGTGCCTGGGCCTATGCCGCACTGTGTGTGTATGTACATGGGCATGTAGGATTATGTGCGTGTGTGTATGTGTGTGTATGTACATTGTGTTTCTATTCACAAGTGCTAGTGTATGTTTGTATGCCTGTGGGGGCATGCGAGTATATATTTGTGTGGTCTGTATGATTATACTTACACATACCTGAAGAGATGATTTCCTGAGGTGACAAAACTGTCAGGTAGGATACATTAGTCAACACGTATAACACAGTCACGATAGATATGCCAGAAATCAAAGATTTTGGAATTGTTTTCACAGGATCTTTTACCTCTCCTGCAAAACAAAATTTTTAGTAAAAGTAAAAATTACTGTAAAACTTGAATGTTTCTTTGTAAAAAAAAAAAAAAAAAGTCCGAGATCATTGTCTTTTCATTTGCTTGCTTTGATTCTGCCATTTTCTTACATGCATCATCCATAAAACCTGGCATTTTCTATAATCCAATACTAAAAATAGAAGTATGTATAATTGCGAGTTTCCCCTTGTCCTGTCAGGGAAACAGAAGCATTTCAACCTGCTATTGAACAGAGAATAAAACTGTGGTAATAATATTTCCTTCACAAGAGACTCCTGTCATTGAAATGGATACAGCAATGTTGCAGAAACCAATACACAGCCTGTCTAAAGTCAGGCACAAGTATAAACAAAGTAAGCTGGTCCTTGCATATGCATGCTGTCCCTCCAATATAAGAATCAAAACGTATGGCATTAATTTTACTGCTATATGACCAACTTAAAATTGTCAGAGGACCAATGCATATTCCATCAGATTCGGAATCTATGAAGATCCATGAATTATATTATAAGCAATGATAGTGCACTACTAGTATGGCAGCTAGAGCCATCCAGTGAGACATTGCGATTCAAACCTGTTTGCCTGTTTCTTGAAATGTGCCATCAAGAGAAGTGAACCTTAGTTTAAAACGATGCATGGAGAGGACCTAAAGCCCTGGCTCAGATGTCGCCCACACACTCAGTCTCCAAGTGTTTTCCCTAATAAGGGGAACAGGGGCTTTCTCTGGCATAAACTCAGTGACAGGCTCTCTGATCATCTCCCCTGGGGAGTGCAGCCTTGCCAGGCCACAGAGGAATACAGTGCAGCCAGTCCTGAGGAGACCTGATAGGCTAGGGTCAGAGAGAAGAGGAGGAAGACTTCCCCTATCAGTGGACTAGGGGAGGGGCACAGGGAGAGAAGAGGAAGGAAAGGTGGGATTGGGAGGAGATATAGGAGGGGGACACAGCAGGGATACAAATTGAATAAATTATAATAAAGGATTATAATAAAATACAATTGACTTATAACCAGCAGTGATGACAAAATGTGAGGGTATTCTGGTGTAATTGATGAAGTTGGTTGGATTGGAAAGTTATAATGAAAATTTCCAGATCAACAGAATCCAAGTTCTTGTACAGATCCCAGTCAGCTTCCACATATTGTTGGTTTTATTAGTCATTTTTTCGTTGCTATGATAAATATATGACAGCAAATTTAGGAAAGAGGTGTTTATTTTGGCTCACATTGGAAGATACAGTTGGTTCATCATGGAGGGAGGAGGCCGCTTATCACATTGCACCCACAGTCAGAAAGCAGAGAGAGCTTTTGTGGAAGATTGTCAAGCAGCACCCAGAGTCAAGGGAGGCTCTGCTTTATTAGATCTCCAGGCCAATCTGGCAGACCCAGCAAGCTAATCCTCTGAGGAGCTCAGCTATAATCCAGTTTCTTAAATTTATACACAGCACAACATAATTTTTCACCCTTTCTGTTTTTGGTGGGTTATGGGTTTGGACAGCACTAAGGACTACTAGAAAGCATGGTTACAGATGTTGAATAGATATGGTGAGAACAGCTATTTTATAACTGTTTCTCAGAAGAAGGCTTCACCTGATGTGGGAGGTAAGATTACAGCAGAAGAACACAGAATGTACTATTCTTAGTCAAAGGTAAAGTTTATAGTTTCCCAATTTTCTTATCAGGATGAATGCTTTAGCTTAGCTTTCTTTCCTCATTTTAGTTATTCATCCTATTGGGTGATGCTGTCCATAGTTAAAAGAATCTTCCCATTTGATTAACCTAATGCTCACAATTCTTCACAGATGTATTCAGAAGCATGCCACCTCGATGATTCTAAATTCTGTCAGTTGACAGTATCTCAATAGCTGAGTCATCTCTCCAACTCCAAATCTTTTTAAAAGTTTTTTATTAATTACAGTTTATTCACTTTGTATCTCAGCTGTAGTCCCCTACCCCTCTCTTCCCAACCATATCCTCCCTCCTTCTTCTTCTCCTATGCCTCTCCCCTGTCCAATGATAGGGGAGGTCTTCCTCCCCTTCCATCTGCCCATACTCTATCAGGTCTCATCAGGACTGGCTTCTTTGTTTTCCTCTGTGGACTGGTAAGGCTGCTTCTACCTCAAGGGGAGGTGATCCAAGAGCTAGCCCATGAGTTCATGTCAGAGATGGTCCCTGGTCCTATTATTGGGGAACCCTCTTGGATACTGAGCTGCCTTGGGCTATTTCTGTGCAGGGGTTCTAAGTTATCTCCATACCTGGTCCTTGTTTGGAGTATCAGTCTCAGAAAAGACCCCTGTGCCCAGATATTTTGGTTCTGTTGCTCCCTTTGTGGAGCTCCTGTTCTTTCCAGGTCTTTCTGTCTCCCACTTCTTTCATAAGATTCCCTGCACTCTGCCCCAAAGTTTGGCTGTCCATCTCAGCATATGTTTTGATACTCTGCTGTTTGGAGTCTTTCAGAGGCTCTCTGTGATAGGCTACTGTCCTGTTCCCTGTTTTCTCCCTCTTATGATGTCCCTCTCATTTGCCTTTCTGAATTAAGATTGAGAATCTTACACAGGGTCTTCCTTCTTGCTTAGCTTCCTTAGATGTACAGATTTTAGTATGATTATCCTATATTATGTCTAATATCCACTTATGACTGAGTATATACCATCTGTGTCTTTTTGCTTCTGGGATACCTCACTCAGGATGATCTTTTCTAGATCCCACCATTTGCCTGCAAATTTCATAATTTCTTTGTTTTTAATTGCTGAGTAGTATTCCATTGTGTAAATGTACCACAATTTCCGTATCCATTCCTCAGTTGAGGGACATTTTGGTTGTTTCCAGCTTCTGGCTATTACAAATAAAGCTGCTACAAACATGGTTGAGCAAATGTCCTTGTTGCATAGTTAGACATCTTTTGGATTTATGCCTAGGAGTGGTATAGCTGGATCTTGAGGTAGCACTATTCCTAATTGTCTGAGAAAGCACCTGACTGATTTCCAAAGTGGTTGTACAAGTTTACATTTCTACCAGCAATGGAGGAGGGTTCCTCTTTCTCCACATCCTCTCCAGCATGTATTGTCACTTGAGTTTTTGATCTTAGCCATTCTGATGGTTGTAAGGTGAAATCTTGATCTGTATTTCACTGATGACTAAGGGCATTGAGCATTTTTTTAAGTGTTTCTGAGCCATTCGATGTTCCTCTATTGAAAATTCTCTGTTTAGCTCTGTACCCCATTTTTTAATTGGGTTACTTGATTTGTTTCTGTTTAACTTCTTAAGTTCTTTATATATTCTGGATATTAGCCCTCTGTCAGATATAGGGGTGGTGTAGACCCTTTCCTAATCTGTAGGCTGTCGTTTTGTTCTGATGACAATGTCCTTTGCTTCATGGAACATTTTCAGTTTCATGAGGTCTCATTTATTGATTTTCGCTCTTAGGGCCTGTGCTGTTGGTGTTCTGTTCAGGAATTTGTCTCCTGTGCCAATGAGTTCAAGGCTCTTCCCCACTTTTTCTTCTAACAGGTTTGGTGTGTCTGGTTTTATATTTAGGTCTTTGATCCTTTGGCATCTTTGTAAAAAATCAGGTGTTCATAAGTGTGTGGGTTTATTTTTGGGTCTTCTATTCGATTTCATTGATCCACCATTCTGTTTCTATGCCAATACCAAATCTTAATAGAATCTGATAAGCAAGTATATGAAACTTTTCCCTTATTAGCAGATTACATAACTTTATAAGGCACATACGAATATATCTTTCTAATGTATAACAAAGGGCCATTTTAGCCAGGTGTGGTGGTGTACTCCTGTAATCTCGGTACTCCGGGCAGCAGAGGGAGGTGGATCACTGTGAGTTCCAGGCCAGCCTGTTCAACAAAATTAGTTTAGGACAGCCAAGGCTACAGAGAGAAACCCTGTCTCAAAAAAACAAAAACAAAACAAAAAAACAAAGGGCCATTTTATAGCAAGAAGTATGCATTGATAGGAAAATATAGAGAGAATTTAAAAGCCAATTCACTTAATTGTCAGCATTTGTCAACAAAGGAAAAGTACCTGTAGTTTTAGTCTTTCTCCCTCTCTCTATCTCTGTGTGTATGTCATATATTAACAAAATATGCAAATCTACTTTCAAGAATAAAAAAGAGAATCCTTACTGAAATCTTCAAATATTGAAAAGTATATTAAAATGTGAACCAAAGAATTTTTAGGGCCATTGTTCCTGAACAGGATTCAAAAACCACAATGAACGTGAGGAGTAGAAGAACAGATATGAAAACCTAATACTCAAGCAGAATGCAGGCCCTCTTCCAAGGATTTTTCAAACTCAGTAATGAGAAGAAGAATAAACAATTCACAGCCACTCATAGGAGTATAAAGCCCATGATGATAGGCGCTTGTTCACTGCCATAACTCTGCTGTCTAGATTAATGACGTGCTCTTGGTGAATGTGTTGGATGAATTACAATTAATTGAATGCCAGAAACCTATTGTATACTTTACTACAAATCAGAAGAACAAGATAAACCGATAAGAAAAGACGGGCTCTAGAAAATTATTTATGCCTTTGTTTGACTTAATAGGATATGTTGCAACATAGAAAAATATAGTACAAACAATGCGAACCCACCATTTTAGAATACTTCAAATTTGACACTTAAATGACTAGCAGAAAATATTTAAGTTAGAAAAAGGTAAATTATTTAGCAATCTTCTTATATTGGGACATTTTATGGTGCAGCACAGAGGTCTAGCTTAAAAGAATCGCTGAAGAAATGCACTATGTGTTCTGAAGCACATGAAACATTTCCAGCTCAGTGGCACTAAGAACATACTGTAGATTTACGAAATAAAATTTAAAAATATAGTAGGACAAAGGGGGGTGTTTTATATTATTTATTGTTATTTATTATTAATAATAAACAACAAAGATTAAATAATAAATGTTATTAATATTATTTATTGTTATATGGATCAGTGTAGATATTAAGGACCAAAAATTTAGTTAAACGTTCAAAGGCTAAAACAGTCAAGAAAGTCCTTAAAAAGAATCACAAGAAATAGTTTTCTCTGCTATTTGCGTGTTTCATTATAAAAATTAGGTATTTTGTGAGTAATAATAAGATAAAATCTTTTCAATCAATGATGTCTCAATTTTCCTTTAGAAAACAAGTATAACTGTGTATTTCTTATGTAACTAATATTTTTAAAAAATATCTCAAAATGATCAATTGAAATGCAACAAAATTTGAGAATACAGAAGACATTAATTTACTTTTGAAAACTTAAAATGATAAATGTAAAAGAATCTAAAGAGCATGTAATTCTATGAAGTTTACCTGAAGGATGGAGGCTCAATGATGACCATGTAATACAGAGAAAATTAAATTTAAATACAGAGTATGACCAATCACTGTTATCATTCCACAAAAATTCTGACAAACTCTTTGCATGCCTCCAGTTATTTCTATGAATGGATTTACCTGATATATTGAGCAGAAGTGATGATCCAATGTATGCATAAGACCCTTGGAGAATGGCTTCTGCGATCTGTGAGGCATCTGGAACTTCGGCATCTAAAGAATTTTCAAACCTGGAAACAGCCTCCTTTTTCCCAGTCACTAACAGCACAACACCAGTTAGAGAAATGAAACAAAGAACACTGATCTTTATCAAACTGCTGATAGTACTAAACCAAGCCACTGTAGTCACACCTCGAGCATTGAGAATTCCAAGTGACCACAAAATAGCCAAAGCGAGACATTTCTTTGCTAGCTCTGGAGCTGGGCACCCAGCATAAAAAGGTTGAATTAGAAAACTTGCTATTAGTAAACTCTGAGTACCTAGTCCAAAGGGATAGGCAAATAGTGTAAGCCAAAGTTTGAGGAAGGCAATAGAAGCTCCAAGAGATCTTTTCATGAAATAATAAGGTGCTGCACTGACAGGGAAGGTGGTCCCCATCTCTGCAATACATAGAGCATGCATAACAGATAGTAGGGCACAAATTACCCAAATACTCAGGGAAATAGGAATGTTCAGTGAGGTGTACTGTAATATCCCTTTAGGGGACACAAAGATTCCTGCCCCAACTATGCTACTAAATAAGAATGTGCTTCCATGAAAAAATCCTATTGCCCTCAGGAGTCTCATGTTTTTCTATTTTCTTTCCAAATCCCCCAAAAAAGATTTCAAATTTTGTATGGGCTATTACTGACACAATTCCTCCCAACTGCAAGTCTCCTAAAAGTAGAATAGTCTCTAGACTGAACTATATTGTCTGTTTCACAAGACATTTATACTTTAGCCTGAGTTGAAAATAATTAGCTTATGAATTGTCCTCCTATTTTATGACTTCTTTCTGAAACCAAAATTTAAGTGTTTCATGTTAATATTTTTTTTGTGTTATGTGACATTGAGATTGAACTAAGGTCCTCACCCATGCTAAACAAACATTTTATTGCTGTGCTGGATCTCCAGCCTTGTTAATATTTTTTGAAGACAAACACACTATTGGTTAAATTAGTAACTTCTCATTTCAAAGGTAAGGTTTTAGCCATTATGAATAGAGAAATTTTCATTTGTGAGGGGGTAGAACTGTTCCCAGCCTAAAGTTCATCTGCTGGCTGCTGCAAAACTAACACATCCAGGAGAGTTAGTGAGAAGAGTATCAGGATTTTTCAAGGACCAATGTTCTGAAATGCTGAGTAAACTTTTATCTCATTAAAAATAAAAGTATGTCTTGGGGAATTAATAACGTGTGTGAGTTTTATAGAGCATAAAAAAGAAAGTGCAGAGGCCTCAGGTGGCCTCACAGGTCTCCTATTCCATGTATATCTCTTTTGGAATTCAATCAACACTTCTGATTCATGTTTCCTCTAATTCTCTTTTAAAATTATTATTATTATTTATAATTTATTCACTTTTTTTTTTTTTACAATTTATTCATGGTTGTAGCTCCCTCCCTCATCTCTTCCTGGTCCAACCTTCCCTTCTTCTTCTTCCCTATTACTTTACCCTAGTCCACTGATAGGGGAAGTCCTCCTCCCCTACTATCTGACCCTAGCATATTAGTTCTCATCAGGGCTGCCTGGATCCTCTTCCTCTGTGGGTTGGCACCTGACAGGGGGAGGTTATTAAAGAGCAGGCAACTGAGTTCATGTAAGAAATTGGCCCTGTTCCCCTTACTAGGGTACCCACATGGAGAATGAGCTGCCTTTGGGAGTTCATCTGAGCAGGGGTTCTAGGTCTTCTCCATGCATGGTGTTTGGTTGATGCATCAGTCTCTGTAGGCTACCATGAACCCAGATATTTTGGCTTTATTGTTCTCTTTGTGGAGCTCCTGTACCCAATGGATCTTTCTATCTCCCGCTTCTATAAGACTCCTTGCACTCTACCCAAAGGTTGTTTGTGAGACTCTGCCACTGCTTCTATCCTCTGCTGGGGGGACTCTTTTAGAGGACATCGGTGGTAGGCTGTTCTGTTCCCTGTCTTATGCCACTTCCTGGGTCTATCCTGTTTGCTCTTCTGAATGAGAATTAAGCATCTTCCCTAGGATCCTCCTTCTTGTTTAGACTTTTTAGGTCTATAGATTTTAGTATGTTTATCCTATATTACATGGCTAATATCCACTTATAAGTGAGTGTATATTAAGTGTGTCTTTCTGCTTCTGGGTTACTTCACTCAGATGATCCTTTCTAGTTCCATCCATTTGCCTGCAAATTTCATGATTTCCTTACTTTTAGTGGATGAGTAGTATTACATTGTGTAAATGTACCACAATTTCTGTATCCATTTTTTGGTTATTATGAATAAAGCTGCTGTAAATACAGTCAAGCAAATATCCTTATTGTATGGAGGTTTCCCCTTTCTATGCATCTTTACTAGCATGTGTTGTCACTTGAGTTTTTTGTCTTAGCCATTCTGATGGAGGTAAAATGGAATCTCAGAGTCATTGTCGTTTTGATTTGCATTTCTTTGATTACTAAGGATGTTGAGCATTTATTTTTTCTTCTTTTTTCTATAGTTCATCTATAGTATATCTAAATAGAGAAACATTGCTTGTTTCTTGCTATTTACTTTCTTCTTAACATCAAAAACTAGCTAAATAAAGCTAGTGCCTAACATGACTACAAGTATGATCATTATAGGTGACTGACTACTAGCTAACATTTTTAAATTATCCTTAACAGTTTACAATAGTGTATTTCATAAGACTAGACTTCACATTAAATTTTTATATGAGTTGCATAAGCACAATACCTTAAACAAGAGTTGAATCAAATATACGGTATGTTGAAGCAAATACAACCTTAAGTTTCTACAAGTACATAAAAATCCATACCAATAGAAAATATGTGATACTTGTTGTAGCTTTTTTAGTCTAAAAGTAGATACAACAACGTACCCATTCTCGTACTATCAAGGAAATACAATAATCCATCCTTCTTTGTTTTTATTTATTTTTTAATAATTTTTATTTTTTTATATTAATCACAGGTTATTTACTTTGTATCCCAGTCATATTCCCCTCCTTCATTTCCTCCCAATCCCTACCTCCTTCATCTCCTCCATGCCCCTTTCCAAGTCCACTGATAGGGGAGGTCCTCCTCCCCTTCCAGCTGAACCTAGCTTATCAGGTATCTTCAGGACTGGCTGCAATCCCCTCCTCTGTGACCTAGCAAGGCTAATCCTCCCTTGAGTCAGTGTCAAAGAGCCAGCCATTGAGAAATTGTGGTGCTTTTACACAATGGAATACTACTCAGCAATTAAAAACAAGGAAATCATGAAATTTACAGGCAAATGGATGGAATTAAAAAAGATCATCCTGAGTGAGGTATCCCAGGAGCAGAAAGACACACACAGTTTATACTCACTTATATGTGGGTACTAGACCTATAAGATAGGATAATCATACTAAAATCTGTACACCTAAGAAGATAAACAAGAAAGAGGACCCCAGGTAATATGATCAATCCTCCCTTCTTTGTTTTTATATCTTGTAATGCCAGGATCACAGGATCCTCAGAGACCACCAGGAGATAACTCAATGCAAGAGCAATAGAGCTTTATTACGAGAGCAATCAAACTCAGGACCCAAGTCTCACTGACGCAGTAGAGAAGTGAGACCTCGAGCCCTGCGTGAGCAGGAGTTTTAAAGGGAAAGACTGCAAGCAGGGGTTTTCCATGACAGCAAGCAGGAGGGTACATGTTTCCATTACAGCAAGCAGAGGGGTTCATGCCTTGACATAAAAGATAGAGGAGTGAGGTGGCCTCCTCTGAGGCGCATAATCACAATTGCCTAAGTCATATAATCACAATTGCTATTCTTCTAAACTGTATCTGAAATATTGGGGAGAATTTTCCCAGCCGACTCCCAACCAAGTCTCATTGATTATTGCCAGGGAGAGTGTCTTTATTTTCTATGAAGTGTTTATTCTGTGATATTTCCTGGAGGCTGTTGTTAAGAGAGTTAACTTTGTTTTCTGCCAAGTCTACATTCTGTGATATTTCCTGGTACCTGAATTCAGCTCCCAGTCAAGATGCTCTTTATTTAAAAATGGAGTTATACCCAGGCTAACTTAAACTCTTCAATCTCTATCCCACCCATCCCCCCTTTACCCTCTAACACTAGAAGGATAGAGGGGATAAAGAAAAAGAGAGAAAGAGATCCCTGAATCTAACCTCTTTTTCTTTGTTTTCTCCTTATCATGACCAATAAAAACTTGTAACCAACCCCCCTAAATAACAACAAATGTCTGTATCCCACCAAATGACCAAAATGACCCACCCACCTCTCAGGAATATGGCATCATAGTCTTTACATTGCTTCCTGCTGTTTGGGGATGATGGCATCTTTGGGTGAATCTAAGAATATTGGGATATTGGCCAAGTCTTGGAGAGCTGGCTGTTTGTTGGATAACTGTTGCTATCCAAGCTCTGTAAGATCATCTGGGCTAGGGAAGTGCAAGTCTTACCCAAAGTCTAGATGAAGCAGTCTGTGAGGCTGCACCTTTTGGACCCACCACTTTGAAGCTGTCTTAGATGTAACTTTTGAGGAAACAACAGCTTAAGAAATCTATGTGGCTAGATACCCTGGAAAACTTGATTTGTCTTCATTTGTTGTTATAAAAGAATGAAAATCCCAAATTATGTAGATCTCTGACGTTTGTGAAGACCATTTATCTATCTCTAGCTTGTTTCTACCTATATAATGACTGATTAACTTAAAAAAACACCCATGATTAGCAAAACTAATAACACTACAAGTGTGGTTGACTTAGTTTGCATTTCTTAATTATTCTAAACAATTTCAAAACAAATTTCAAAAACAAATAGAACTTCACATTACATTTTTAAGACTCACATAGATACCTATGCTCCAACCCTAACTCCCTGGGCTTCTCTGTTGGTGAGTTATTTATTTCCTTGGGCATTTTTTTTTTTTTTTGCAATAGAAAAAGTATTAGCTCTCAATTGAAAATTTAAAAAGTTCTTTTGGAAATTCGAAACAATTTATTTTGGAGGAAGAGCCTTGAACTCATTGGCACAGGAGACAACTTCCTGAACAGAACACCAACAGCACAGGCTCTAAGAGCAACAATCAATAAATGGGGCTTCATGAAACTGAGAGCTTCTATAAAGCAAAGGACACTGTTGTTAAAATAAAACGACTGTCTACCGATTGGGAAAGAATCTTCACCAACCCTATATCTGACAAAGGGCTAATATAAAGTACATATAAAGAACTCAAGAAGTTAAACAGCAACAAATCAAGTAATCCAATTAAAAATGGGGTACAGCGCTAAACAGAGAATTCTTAGCAGAAGAATATTGAATGGTAGAGAAACACTTAAAGAAATGTTTAACATCCTTGATTATTATGCTTAAAATTACAGCTGAATCCTGTAAAAAGAGTTTTATCTGTGCGTTTAAATATATGGCCATTATATGTTTATTTTTGACTGATCTTAAATGGTTAATATATATCTAGGTTATAGATCAAAAGTAATTAAATATATTTTAAAGTTATATTCAAACTGTTGTTCAAAATATATATATATGTGTATATGTTTATAAGGTTTATAAACACATATGTTTAAAAGGCAACCATATGATATAACTCTGTCATCTTTGCTATATGATATGGGTTA